TGTTGTTGATGCCAAAATTTCCGCCAAAGCTGTTCCAGGGTCTGCCAGTGTTTGTGGTGTAAACATGGAGCAATGATGACAATTATTCCATCACCATGAAAGCACCAGCCGTATACTATAATCGGCTTTTCTACCGTTTGTTCAGCGGTGGCCGGACGCGGTTAACAGTTTGAAACTGAATATTTTTCGTCAAATCTCTACTTGTGTGTCCATGCATCTGCGCATAATCTATTAATTGTAACATTTCTTAGTTACAGTTTTAAAAAGTTGATTTAACAATGTCCAAATTAAGCAGCAGCTGTGTTTATGGACAAATCTGCACCATCACGGTATTTCACATGCTAGCATTTGGCTTTTTGCGGCATACGACCAAAGGTCACAATGTGATGCTAACAACTTGGGCAGTTCTTGTGTTCCTTTTTGTCGGTTTATCCAGCATTAAAGACCTATCCAAACTGATCGGTATTTATTATCCCGAACTCGACCAACTGGAGTTTTACGCTCTGCTGTACATTGCGTCCCGCGTTGTCCAAATTCTTACATATGTCCTGGTCACTGTTTCGTTATTACTCCGGAGTAAAACGACACCCTCGTTGCTGCAGTCCATCACAGCGCAATGTACCAGTGATTCCACCACATCACAGAATGTTGCCAGCATTTTCATGGGATTCTGGTTGGTTTCCTGCACTGCGTTACTACTTTTTGCCGGATACTTATACCAGCAAGTCATTACGACCGCCTTTCATCTGCACTCCGGTATGATAATACCCTACATTAAAGAGCTGCGACTGATGCCGATGCCGGTCGGTCTCATTGTCACGATCGACATTCTTAGCATCTTCCTGAAGCACTGTTCATACATTGCTCCTCAAATGATGATGATGGTGCTCTTAATTCCACTCTGCTATGAAATCGGTCAAATTAATAAAACTTTGCGAGCCGTTGCGGATAATGCGAGTTCGTATCAGAAGGACCAGATACGAAGTGTCGTGCAAGAAGCCATGAGCTGGTTTCGTTGTCTGAGCTGTTTGTTGGGTGATATCAATACAGTCTTTTCGGTGGCTAATTTAGGACATAGCATACTGGAAATTGTCACGTGGACAGCTGCTGCGGCGGCAGCGTTGCATCACGCAAAACTGGACACAGGAGAAGACAGGGATCTGTATAATATTCGCTTGCAGGACTTAGCCGCTACGCGACAGGTCTTGTATGTCACCGCGGCATTATTTGCGGGTCAATTTATAATTCGCATGGCTGTTTGTATTCGGTGCCATGAAGAGGTCAGTAAAAGATGCTGATTCGCGATATCAAAAGTTTTCCTTACTGTTTTATGCCTGCACGGCGGTCTGAACCATAGATGCATTACCACTGGCAGACCTGGCAAAAGTGCAAACAATAATTAGTGTGGTTTCGTTTGTAGGCGCGACAGATCGTGGACGCCTTGGATCAAGTTGCCGCATATTGCAACACTGAACCAGTTGATGTGCAGTTTCAGCGACAAATGACATCTCTCCAGTATGAAGTTACATCAACCGATATGAGCATCAACGCTGGCGGATTTTTTAGCTTTACCAAGGAATATGTTACAATGGTACGATGTTGCTAGCATCAGTACTTATTATGTACTAGTATCAGTACTTATTAAGTACATATTATGCAGCTGCTGTTCATTGAATGTTTCTCCAGTGTTTTTACCCTGAAAGAACGGTTTGCAGATTATTGGAGCGCTATTAACCTATGTGCTATTGGTCCATGACATGAGCACTGCGCAAGACGACAAACGAGAACTCCATGAATCCGTCGTGCAAATGGCTACAAACCTCTTACATCGGCAAAGAGCGTCTCCTCCGCTTAACCACTCAATATTTTAATTTTGCCGCGTATGTGGCATTTACTTTTTAGTAATTTTTCATGCATTTGACGGATGGCATCGTGAGCGTACCTGTTATACATTGTTGTGTTTCAGCTCAATTAACATTATCAGTTCAGTTCAATTAACATTATCCAGATCACTCTAACAAAAAACTAAAGCGTTCTAAATATCCTGCTCTCATAAAAACTGCAATAATAGAATTATTACACGGTTTCTTTGCAATTTGAATCTGGTAATTAATGATTTTCAGCCAATGATCAAGTTTGCTGCATTAAGAAAATATGTCGAGTTGGCAGTTAGCGTTTGTCCATTTCCCATAGAAGTGTTATGTATGTCAACATAACGCCAATAACCTGTACACAAATGCGACTGGGTACCGCGTTTATTATTCTAGAAAAAAATAGGAGTGTTTAATATGATTAATATTATAGAAAACATTGTCTCTGCAAGTATACCACGCTTCGTATCATGCAAGAAATGGATATTGAATTCAGTTCATCGTAAGTGAAGGTTAAAAAAATGCGCTGTAATATCCCGTAGGTGGCTTACCGTTGAAACAAAACCTTTGTCCAAATAGCACAGCTGGTAAAGGGTAAACGATCCTTTCATCCTCTCCAGGCGATGGCTGACTGTTTGCAGATAGCCGTTGTAAATGCCACCACAGCGATCGGCAATTTTATGACGCTCCATAAGGATCGCAAAAGCTTTGCCGAAAGCTGCGCTCTGATAAAGGAAATTCTTGTAATTTGTAACACAATGCAACAACATCAGTCATTGCAAAATATAGACTATAGATGTACTTCTACACCTAAGTCCAGAAGGCACAAAAAATAACAGCTCTCAGTGGTGACCCAGTTTACCGTTTTATTGGTAACGACATTCAGGTGATAAGCAACGATCATGATCACGGCATACCTTAAAGTGCTTCGCCTCAAATTCATGTTTTCTCAAAAACTAAATTGATTTTTGAAGCAGTTTTCCACACAAACATACCGAGCGCAAAAACACGAAGCTGTTCTTCAGCCTTATATCCTCATTATATAGAACAGTTTTTCCCGATAAACAAACAACTGAAAGAAGGTACATGTACTTTTTATTGTACAATTGCTCCAAGCTGGTAACCCATTAACCGGTTAGAATGATACAGTAGTATAACTTCACACTGAGAATTTGAACCTGGCCTGATTTTGCTTGGTTTTTGGACTTTACAACTTTCACAAGTTAAATTACTTACCATATCCTGAACTCGAATAGCGGAGCACATCCGCATAACCAGCAGTATTAAACCCAGACAGATACTCCCGACAAATTTATCCGGGGTGTATTCCTGGGAAAACAAAACGGCAGAATCCACTGCGGATCCTTTGATGATGCCCAGTCCCGTTACGATTACGTACACATCGGACACAAACAGCCACAACAACACTGGACCGAAAATGCTATCCAATTCGCCGATGCGCACGGTCAGTTCCAGGTGGTGCGCTGAAAGGTCACCCAGTTTGGTGAAGAAGGCGCTATCGTACGACTTGCCTGGATCTTGAAAAAGGCGTTCCAGCTGTTGTTTGAGAGAGGACAAGCCGCTGTGTAATGGGATTGTGATCAGCATGAAGAGAATCTGCACTCCCAGTAAAGCCATGGCACACAAAGGACCGGTGAAGGTACCAATATTTCCTCCAACAATCAGCAGATTAATTAAAAGGAGAGTATTTTCGTGACCTTCCGCTGTGCGATTGTATATGTTCTGACCGTATGTTACATAATCATCCTCTGTAGCATGTTCAGGCAGAGAAATATTCTGGCTTATTGAGCGTATAACAATGAGAATTCCTGCCGCTCTTACTTTGTATTCGATTGGGGGAACAATCATAATAATCCAGATGATCGATATACCAGCCGCTAATAGTGTTCCAACAATGACGGCTGTATGAAAAAATGTGTCAGCACTATTTCGAAAAACTGTAGAGCAGTCTGTCGATGCCAAATGCCGAATCTCGTTTAAATTTTTTTGGAGCCGATCCACGACCTTTAGCAACCTGGAACTCTTCGCTCCAAAAAACAGACTAATCAGTAATGCAATGATTGTCCACTGAGAAAGGAATGCTTTCAGCAAGATCTCACTCATTTTGTCAGTATTTTCGAACGAGTGCCAAAATATGTCTACTATAATGAAGATATACAGGAGTAACGACAGCAGGATCCCAGCTGACCATATATACAAAAGTAAAGAACATAATCGAAAGAAGTGGTAGCAGAACTTCCCAGACTGTTTACTGGAATTCTTTATCATAATGACATGTCGAATAAAATGTGGGTACAAACCAACAGACGCCAGCAAAAGGAGAAAAAGGGGTAAGAGCCGAAACGTCGATTCCATGATAACAAAAATATTAATTTTAATAGGTCACTTGTAATTTACGTTCCACTTAAGCTGATTATCGTTTTACATTAATAATTTAAAATGCACATCGGTTTGCCGAAGCAGCATTAAACTGATGCTATTTTGAAATTACTGATGGATTGACTGCGGTAGACATGGGCTGATCGGTATCCCTCACCGAATATCTTCTCCTTCTTTTATTTGTTCAGGCGGAGTGACTAGCAGAATTCAGTATAATAAAAATTACACTTGCTGATGCAGCTTTAACACATCAGCTGCTCAGCTGTCAGTAATTAGCTTCACAGCTATGCACAACTAAAAGGCGTGCGAATCTCATCTCAGTAGCTACAAGTACAATGTATTTCTATAGATACCGCTATGCTACGCATGCAGATCAAGCAGATGCAATACGAATTCTTCGGACTGGCTTCCCATTTTGTACGGATAGTTTCCTTGTAAAGGTACAACTTTTGCGTAACTCACAACCAAATCTGCTTGTTTGGCAGCAACAACTGAATAAATCGGCACAAAACTTACAAAAGGAACGCCCTACGCCAGTGTTGTTGACCTACTGTGAAGGTATGACGCTGTAAAACCAAATAAAAATAATACTTTTTCCAAAAGGAACGCCCAATTCAGGCGCATCAACTGAGAAACATCCTAAAATTAATGCCTGTTGCCAGCTGTCGCATGCTTGGTTGGTAATAGTAAACATTCATTCTTTCTAAGAAGTACACTACGAGAAAAATGTCATCCGGAAGTCGTGAAATTGCGAATGTAATCCAGTATGTCTCCAATTTCCGTTTGGGATTGACGATTCTGATACAAAATAACACAGTATGTCGCCAAAATTCCAGTGACCTACGAACCCAAAACCCTGCCATACATATATATATGCAGTATAAACTGTTATCAGCCGGAACCTTGGCAAAAATTTACCATTGTAATATACTGCTTCGTAAAGTCAAGATAACCAAACGCTGTAAATACTGGTATTTTGTGGTCGATTAATGCCCGTAGTGATTCAAGAAACTGTTCCAGTTCCTCTTTCGCGCTGTCCGCAATTTTTGGGCGAATGTACAGCAGCGTTGTCTTAACCGAGAGAGCCTGCGTTAATCGGAACAAATTCAAAAAACATTATAGTAGTGTTTACTGGCAAAATCGCTCGCAAATGCGTGAGTTGACAGCTATTTTTTAGATCATTTTTTTGCCAATCCAAAGACGTCTTATCATAATTTTTTCGACGGTTTATTAAGCCTTGTTTTCATTTACGAAAGCTTATATATAAATGTGCTGCAAAATAATCAATAAAATGAATGGTTCTTACTTGTTCATGGCAGAAAATGCAGGAAGTTAACCGGATCGTGAAAGTAAACACTGCCACGATCGCCATGGACAGCAGTGCAGTGGATAGCGCTGCCCATTGGACTTTCTCTGCCTCAGTGCGTCGGCAGTCCCAACGGGCGTCGCTTCGAAACGGTACCAACAAGGCTGCACCATAAGCTAACCATACGAGGATCTCCAGTAACGAAACCGCCAAATTGATCACCGAAAACACACCGTCTATACTAGCAACTGCACACCGCAACCGCCGGAACAACGCGTGACCTTTTTGTAGTTCGACGCAAAGCATATCGTTGTCTGGTTTGTTGGCCAGATACTCCAACCGATTACGAATATCGCTGAATGCAAATCCAAGTGGCATCGCCAAACTGACAAATAGTCCCAAAAGCATGAAACGGATGGTCGGCTTTAAAATTCGAGGCAAGACGTAATACGGTATTCCTAACCATAGCGGCGCCTTGTAATACCCGAAAAGAATGGATAGTGGTTGGGCAAATCCTTGACTAACACCTTTAACCATTCCAAAAATGTAATATAACGCCACTGTGATTCCGGTTAGGGAGCTCAGGAAAACAGTAAAACTGATAAAATTCAGTTTCCGCTTTTCTGTCACTATCAAGCTTTCAGTTAGCGACTGGACGTGAGTGCAGAGAGGGTATAATTGATTCTTTTTAAACAAGATAGCGAACATAACCACAAATGTTTGCAGGTTGTGCATGACCTGGGATGCAAAAAATAAAGTAGAAAATATTTCGAATTTCCATAAACCTGTCTGTTGTGAAAAGTAGTTGTTGTACATATCTTCCGTCGCCGTTGTCAAAATGACCAAAAACACCAGGCAAGACCATAATACGGAAAGGTGAGTAAAGTTTAAAGAGCGATTACGGAGAACAACAGCCTTTCGTAAATTTGGCGCTAAACCGAGAACTTGCAAGATAATAAGATACAAGTTTGGATCGAATCTTAATATCTGAGCTTTTAAGGGCATCTCTCGACAACGGTATTAATTTTACAATTTACGGGATTCTGCAGTTATTCACCGAAAAACGATTGGCATAATTAACCCAATTTGGAGATAACATACCCTGCAGTACATATTCAGTCATACTGAAAACTGAAATACTTCAGAAATATAAAAGAATTGATTTCGCCCGATCTGGATCGATGTCACACGCGGAAAGAAATCATCCAGCTGAAAATAGTATCGTATTCGGGTAAACATGTCAACGTCATCAAAGTCCAAAGCGGAGCGGGGCAGACCGGCTGCATTTACAGGAAATCTCCAGCGTTAAACTTCACAGCACAGAGCAGATCATAATCGTCACATCGCGTCCCGATACTAGTACATGTAATTGATCAGACGACAAAGGAATACGTACCTGGTGCTAGCAGCAATAAGTATAACATTGCTTTGCCTGTGCATCACTGTGCATCACTACAGTTTAATAGAATGAAGATCCATGTAATAATTACCAAACTATACAAGCGACCACATGCATAAACCACAAAATTCTTTTGCAATGACCTTTAGCAACGCATGCAGACTGTTTATTTGGTAATCCATTTGCAAGAAACTTTTCACAACAGCAGGAATCCATAGACCAGAAAGTACAAGCACTAGTTGAAGTGTATCCTCCAGGGTCTAAATACAGTACATACTCTGCTCGGTATACACAATCGTGTTACGAAAGGAAGTAAAGTCAACAGGAATGACAAATAAATTTGCTAATTGCCCTTATGACTAAACCCGGAAGCCTCAGAATATTGCTTTCACAGTAAGTATTGAACGGCTGCACTTTAGCAATTTTTTATGCAACGCATGATCTGATTATATGTGGATTCATCCGGCTCACAATAACCATAAGAAATTTCGCTATTCTCTTTTTTCTTCCGAATTACTTTGTTGCTAAAATGACAAAGACGACGAGCAGCTACAACTTGTTATCGGCACTGAAACCTCTTTTGAGTTTACTGGCTTTTGGCGGAATTTTTCCACATTGCACCAGCTTCTCCAGTCTCGATGTTTTAAACAACATAAGGAAACATTCCCCAATCAAGCGCTTCCTCTTAAAGTGTTTGTCTATGGCGGTCTGTGCATGGTCGGCATTGCAGTTTTTGTGTCTAGCGTTTGTTACCGGCATTTTAGCTTATCTTTTTATCCGCACTTTCAAAATCAACGACAAAATGAGCGAGCTGTTACTCAGGTGTTTTGTGGACCAATGGGCCATCGCTGCATTGCTGATTGGTTTATGTTTCGCTAAGAAAAGCCGTACATTGCCTCAGGTGTTATCCCACCTGGAAGCCAGCCTTCAAAATATTCAGCTGAATATATGGCTATTTAGGAACGGTGGAGGTGGGTACAAATTTGTTGCTTTCAGTGGGGCGGTGTTATTGGTGGGCGTGTCCGTTGTTTGGATAATGCTTGTCACGAACCCTATGGTAATGCGGTTGTTCTACGACAGTCTCCCGTTTCTCCTCCAGGCTGCGAGTAATTACAACGTTTCCTCGATTATCACTGGAGACACAGAAATCAACAATCTGACCTTTAGTACCGAACAGACACATCCCGAAAACGCAGATCTTATGATGACATTGTTGATTGTCACATTATTTTGTGCACCGGCTGTTATGGCGCTTTTATCAATGGCGCTGTTTGGTGTGCAGACACTCTTTATGCTGATAACATTACCAGTTCACGCAGCTCTGGTCACGGTCAATAAGAGACTGCTACAGCTTTTTGAGGAGTCGGGAAAAAACACGTTTGACCAGAGTGCTTTTTTAAGGTTACGACAGCTCTGCGCGCAGCACCTAGAACTGACCAAACGGATTCGAGAACTGGACGAAGTATTTGGACCGGTTTTGCTGTTGTTGTTTATATCGGATATCTATGTCATTGTAACCGGTGTAGCCATAATGAAAGGGAACACTGGAAACGAGGGACCGTTTGCACAGGAGTTCACAGCGGAAAAGTTTGTGCGGAGTGTCTGTCTGGGATTCCTGCTTTTGGCGCTACGCATGTACTGTGCTGTTCAGGTGCATGAAGAGGTAGGTACGAGTGGCGCCGAGTGACCCTTTGCATATAGGTAGGTATGAGCATCATTGTGTTCGCCCACCCTTTCTTCTTGCACTATTCGTCTACCGTAGAGAAGTTTGTTTAATGGCATTTGCATATGTACACCATGTGTATCTCTTAAGAACGGCTTACCCATTAAACAGGCCAACAAATTTAATACCCACGCAACGGCTCTGATGGAGGAGCACAATATTGCCGATTACTGCCAACCGGCTGATCTGCACCATCTGCAAATAGTCATCAGTCGATTGGGAACGATGAAGGGAACCTTTAGTCTCTATCAAATGTGCCAGCTCAACAGAGAGTTTGTCGCCACGGTAAGTTATCAAGGGAGCAAAATTTGAGCTGTATTCTCAATGCTCGCGGTTACGATTCGAAACCGTATTTTGGATTGTTTACTCTTGCAGGTCATTGGTGTGCTGCTGACGTATATTACGCTTTTGTGGGAAATGGATAAAAAATAAGGTACTTAATTAAAAGCGGATTCGAAAAGCACATTGCAGTATGATTGCAGTCCTTGCACCGTTCTGATTTGACCTGTTTTTGGTTGAAACGAATGCTGTTAGAATAGCATTACGCAGTTATGAATTTTGGGAAACCTGCGTGACGGTCATCTTCCTAAGTAATGAATGTGTAATTACCAATGTATTTTATTTGTCTCTTTTGCGCAATACAAGAGTTTTGCTGCCATGTTTAAACCATTTGCAAGAATCAGTTACCATTTATTTGTACGTTGAAAAAATCCATAAGTAAAGGTCGTTGGCGTATTTTAAGGTGTTAAATAGATTCTGTAGATGGCAACCCTCAAACCATCAGCATCAGAAATACAAAATAACAAGGTGTTCGAAGCGGGGCCGTACGTGTGCTACGATATTGCCGCAAAACAAAAATGTTGTCAGAGGTGGGAATCTATTTCTTATCCGTGCCTATTGAATGCCTATTTCTTATCCATCTCCCATAGCAAGGTAATGTATGTCAGGTTTAGGTTTAGGTTTAGGTTTTAATCGCTTAGTGTCTACAGATACAAGGAATCACTCCTTATCGAGATCTATAGACAGGTCAACATAATCTATTACAAAAAAAAACAAATAAAACTTATATAAGAAAACAGTAAAACATTTCATCAATTTCATCGATTTAACAAAAGTCAAGGTTATTCGACGGCAGATGGTCGTTAGCAGATGCGATCTCCTTCCAAGAGACGTCTTCCAATGCTCTTTGGAATGATTGCAGTGAGCAGTACGATGACGGATCTAAATTGAGGTCGTTCCAAAGTTTAGCAGTCCTCCATGAGAAAGAATTTTCGCTGGCTGGCACTTCCGTTCCACAAAACTTGTTCTGGCAGCTTGAATCGGGAATGGGTGGCGCGACATCCGATCGGCATTCCGAGTGTTACCTGCAACAGTATCGACGGCAGTAACTGACTCATAACAAATAAAAAAATGGCTGCCAAAAGGTATCATGCCGAATACGAGTTTATATGCAACACACAAAGACGTTTTAATGCGACGCAGTTCAACACAATCCCAATTTATCTCGCGAAGCCTGCCACTGTAATCTGTACGCGCATTGCCCATTCGCAATCTTTTCAGGAACTTTAAAGCACATTTATCTAAATCGTCTCTATGGGTTTTGAGAAATGGTTTTACCACGGGACTGCAATAATCAAAAAGTGGAAAAATTAACGCTTTATACAAACAAATAAGTGCCGCGGAGTCATAATGGTTAAACAGCGATAAGATGTAGCCTATACGTTTCCTAATCTTGATACACAAATTACTCGTATGCTCACCCCACCGCAGTTTTCGATCGACCACTAACCCCAAATATTTAACGACAGGGCGACTTTCAATCTCGACGTTGTTCAAAAAATATTTATTTACGTCACTTAAACTTCGTTTATTGGAAAAGCGCATGTGCACTGATTTTTTCGGGTTAAAGGTCAATCGTTTTTCAACCGCTGATTTAAATACGGCATCGATATCTTCTTGAAATTTCGTGCAGTCGTCGCTCGTTCTTATTGGCCTGCATAAGAACACATCGTCTGCGAAAATAAAAATCCTGCTACCATTTAGCAGAACAAACACTATCCCATTAATTTCGCAGATAAACAATATTGGACCTAATACTGAACCTTGTGGTACTCCGCTGGTTGTAACCCCGCTTTTTGAAAATACGCCATTCACGACCACAATCTGTTCTCTACCAGTTAAGTAGTCATCCAGCAAACTAATAACGTCGGGGTCAACACCAAGCAAGCCCAGTGTTGTCAACAAGGACTGGTGGTCTACACGATCAAAGGCTTTGGAGCAGTCTAACATCACCGCATCAACTTCAACTCCGTTTTCAATAAAGTCTTTAACAAATTTCGAGAAAACCAAACACTGCAGTTCCGTGTTACGCTTAGCACGGAATCCGAACTGGCTGTCACTTAACAAGCAATTGCTTTCCAAAAAACATCGTAAATAGTTGGCAATGCACTTTTCAAAGATTTTCGAAACTGGATGCAGAATTGCAATAGGGCGGTAATTGGTAATTAATGTTTGATCTACAGACGTTTTGGAAGAGGAGTCACGTATGACGTCTTCCAGTGCGACGGGAATGTACTGAATTTGACGCAAATATTAAATAAAGTTACAAGCGGTGCAACAATTGAGATTCCGCAAGCTTTTAACAGAGAATTTGAGACTTTGAACTGACCGGACGAAGCAGAAAATTTCATTTCGTTTAGAGCGGTTTGAACGTCGCTATCGCTTATTTTAAACGCAATTTCCCTGTCTTCAGGTTTGGGAGACACAACTACGCAATGGGAAGGGCAGCTGTTTTGAGACTCGAGAAAAGTTTCGTTAAATCTATTTGCCTTGTCGTGATCAGAAAAAAGGGTGGTACCTTCTTGCGTTTTGATGGGCGGCAGTGTCTTCTTATCAACACTTTGTTTGATAAACTGCCAAAACTTTTTCGGATTATTTCGGGTTGCTGTTGCGACGTCTAAAATCGCGTTTCTGCGATGCGCTTTGAGAACAGCGTCGACTTTCCGAGATTCGGCCTTCCACGATTCTTTCAAGCTGTCTTTATTCGCTATACTGTTTTCTTGCAGCATTTTGCGGAAAAGTCTATTTCTACGATTTATCGCTTTGCGAATACTTAAGGGATACTTTTTCAATTTTTTTTGCTGTACGTTCGCCGTAGGCAAAAATGTTGGGCTACGTTTAAAATCTCATTTTCAAACTGCATCGCCATAACGGATGGGTCACTACTTGTTAAAATAAATTGCCAGTCTGTCGCCATTAATGAATTTCGAAAAGGTTCGATTTTATCAGGAAGAATATTCCAGTGCTTACCGCTCGACTGAAATTCTGCTTTGCGACGTTTACAATAAAGACGGAACTGAAAGGCATAATGGTCATTTGACGCGGATGGAGGTGACACACATTCAACGTCAGTGACAAAACGGTTCGTAGAAATTAAACAAAGATCAAGGATGTTGTTTTCTCTAGTGGGGAAATGTATTAACTGGCGAAAGTTAAATTCTTTTAAAGAATCAAGCAACAATTGCGAAGCAGTGGTAGGGGCTTTCATACTAGTCCAACAGATATCCGGTAGATTAAAATCACCCATCAAAATAAGCTTGTTACGTAATTCGACAGACAGATTTTCTTGTAAATGTTCAACAAGTAGAGGTATTAGCAAGGCTTTTTTTGATGGTCTTATGTAGATAACACCGAATAAGCAGTCCAAAACAGGCGATTCCACGAACAAAATCTCGAGATCATCTCTATCGAGATCTGTGCGCCTAAAACCTTTTAATTTTTTCGATAAAATTAAAGCGACTCCACCGTGGCTGTCCGACGATTTACGCCATCGGCGAAAAACGTTAAATTTGCGAAGGTCGGCAAAAAAACTGTCGGAATAAATTTCTTGGTCCCACGTTTCCGTGAACGCACTAACATCAGATTCAGAACAAAACTGCCTAACTTCTTCTTTTTTTGAAAAAATACTGTTAATATTGCAACATCTAATTTTTATATTTTGAAAATTTTTCGGATTAACATTCATAATACGCATACGCATATTACCGCTTTTTATTCCTGCAAGTTTTTTGAACCGGCTATTTCGGGTTCTCTTACAACCGTGCGTTGATTCGGCATTTTACAGAATTTCGCCACATGTCCAGTTTCGCTACAGTTAAAACAACGCACTACGTAACGTTCGACTGGGCACACACAAAAATCAAACTTTATGTTACCAGTCCTTTCAAGGAATTGACAGCCTTCGTAGGATGTTTCAATTACCATAGCACATGTTTTAACCGCTTCTGTTTTACTAACAAGTTTTTTCGCTACTCTGATTTCACGTATAGGTGACATCTTTTCCGACACAATTCTTTCAAAATCTTCAGCCGATAAATCTTTCGGCACGCGTTTTACTATCATTCTTGTTACTCGTTTTTTTGTTTCACTCACCGTAAATCCGAGGGTATCTTTGTGCTTTTCCAATTCGGCTTTCGCGGCGTCGCGGTCCCTCTCTTCCCGGAAACGGATGACGATGTTGTCGTTCTGAGTGCGCCGTACTTGCTCCATATTAAATCTCGCGCTGGCGTCAGGTATACATTGTGGTAACTTCTTTTCGATCTCATCGACAGCAATATGGTGACTACCATTTCCGTCTGACTTCTCTTTGTCGGCTGATACAATCAGGGCATACGTCTTTGGAATCTGCTTGGGCGTCACATTTTGGGGGTTGCTGTGGGGAACATGGCGCTTCTGTAATCCATGTGGCTGAGAAGCGAGATTGACTGTGGCGGGCACGGTGCCCGGCCCTGCGGTGGCATTGACAGGTGCCTTCAATTTCTTCAGCTGATATATTTCCCGTTCAAGGTCCAGAATTCGGTTATGCTGCTCGATGTTGTGATCAACAAGGCGGCTAAGAAAAGGGACAAGTTCGTCGACGATTCCTTTGAGTTGGGCCGAGGTTGGCCGGGCGTGCTTGTTCACTTCATCCTTGAAACTTTCCAGTAACTGGGGAATGGTACGAGACGGTGCTTTGGTTGCTGATTTGTGTCCCATGATAGGTGGATACGTGGGAGAAGCTCCAAGAGATGGAGCCCTTAAAGGTCACCGCGTGACCTACACTAATTACTGTGCAAAAACACAACCCGGATGCGGAATATCGTAGTCAAAAATATTCAGAAAAATAGATCCGCATTCGAGCTGAGCGAACCGTTTGTGAGCATGGCTCCAATAACCTGTAGAGCAAGAACGTCGTCAAATTAAATGTCATGCAAAAAGAATACTGTGTACTGGTGGTTGCATGTTAATTCCCGCAAAATACGTAATAAATCTGTATATCTGCAGCAGATTTATTGTTATTGCTTTTCCGTGTGGAAATACACAATTATATGAAAAGAATGTGCTTGAGAGGAAACGTACTATTGCAGTAGATACATACCGTTGCAGCAAATTCTTTGTTCAGCTGGCATAACTGAAACAGGGTGAAAGTGCCCTTAACTGCGGCCAAACGATTGTGGACTGTTTGGAAGCATGCCGCATCGGTGTGACTGCATCGATCGAAAATTCTATGCCGCTCCATAAGAACTGCTGATTTCACCCCAAAAGCATCGGCCTGTAAACAAATGTAAATTGTTAACCTTACTCGCTATTGACCCTTGCTAGGCAGAACAGAAAAGAGTAAAATGCCTTTAAAGAGAGATTTAGATAAAATTACGACTTTACCTGTTCTCTAACGCGAATAGCACAAAACATCCGCAAAAACAATAAAGCGATCCCCAAGCATATACTACGACCGAACTTTTCCGCTGTGAATTCATCAGAAAACATGCCACTGGCATATTGATTGTTCCCCTTCAAAAGGCCGAGTCCCGTCACAATAACGTACATGTCCGAAACGAACAACCACAGCAGTGCCGGTCCGAATATATCGTCCAGTTCACAGATACGTAGCGTCAAATTAAGGTGTCGTGAAAACACGCTCTCCAAGCTTGAGAACATTTTTCCGTCATACACTTTTGTGTCATCGAAAATATTCTCTAACTGCTTATTCACAGCTTTTAAGCCGGCATGTAGTGGTAAAGTAATCAGCATGAAAAGTATTTGTACTCCCAATAAAGCCGCTGTGGTTGAGGGCTTGGTGATGTTGCCCAGAATATCTCCGTCTACCAGAACATTTTGCAGTGTTACAGTGTATGAAGTGTCCCCGATACTCTGATTGGCCAATTTTCTAACGTATTCGTCATAATCATTCGCTGTTGGGTTATTCGGAAGGGTAAGGTTAGTTGGTATGGATATTATAATAACGCGTATCCCTTCTAGTATTGTGTGTACTTCCATAGGTGACGCAATCAAACATACCCAGACGCCTGACAGTGCAACGAACAGAACCGTCGCTACAATTACCAGGATTGTATAATAATTTTCTCGCTTGAAGAAAACGAAATTCCTCATTTCCGATCGCACGCTGGTGAGATTGAGTTCCAGGTCTCCTATGACCTTTGGTAGTTTTCGGCTTTTAACAGCAAAGCTCACTGCAGTTAACCACGCAATGGCGGTCCATTGACCCATGAAGCCTTTTAGGAGGATTTCACTCATCTTGTCGTCGGCTTCGTATGATTTGGAAAAGAAGTATGTTAAAATGGAACTGTACACAAGCAGACAGCTGATCAGCGCTGCTGACCAAATGTACAGCAAAACAGAAAGTATACGGTACAGCCGCTGGCGGCCATGAGCTTCGAACTTTGCAGGCTGATCGATTGCCACACGAAAAAAATGCGGAAATATGCCGACAGCGGCAAACAAGATGTAGAAGATTTCGATACACTTGTACTGAGATCCCATACTGTACTTTTGCTGTTACCAGAAGCGGAATCTAGTGATCGGTATATTTGCCGTACTCGGCATCTGAATTGACGGACTCGAAGAAGAATTAATGGGTATAACATGGGCAGCTGGGTAAACGCGCAGCCGAGCACTTACATCCGGAGACTGAATGAGTGTACTCTGTAATTCTACATCATGTTTTTGACGGAATCTAGAACGAACACTATCGGCATACACCGTGCATTTGGTGCACTAGGTAAATAGTGAGTGCCTGAGTGTGAAAACAATGGAGAACCAGGACAATTATGCTGATGCGGACGTTTTGGATGACGCCAAGTCGCCAGCCATAGTGTTTGTGTCAGCTTGAACTTTAATGTAAAATCGATGCTTTTATTGATGGAAACAGTGTAATCGCAAGCACACGCTTTCACGCATGTTTTTCTTGCATTTTGTCATAATTTTATTACTTATCAGACAAGCTCGCTCACACGCCTTATGAGTTATGGCATTGACACTAGACAGGAAAAGGACTAACGCCCCCAACCGTATCATACTGGAGATTTTACAAATGTACATGCACTCTACAACAATGCTTGTTACGAGTATAATGAGCAGTCACCATAACGTCACAGTAGTGTATTTCAGCAAGAATGCAAGTACACGTACAAGCTGAGGCAACGGAACAATTACCACAGAATATGGTTGACATTCATTGAAGATGAAACTATACTTAATTTCCCTCCGGGATTATTTGATAATTACTATTGAGTGCTTGGTTTTTTCACAACGTTAGACAAAAATGCAATTACAGCATTACACGTAATAATATGCCACTGTATAGTCTTATTACAACATCAATGCCACAAAAAGCATTTGCTTAAACGCATATGCGTACTGCCCCGTAGCAGCGGCTTTTAATACCGGTATTCGATGCACTGTTCAAGACTAACACTTTAGATTTTATATTTTAGTATAAAAATAGATTTTCCAAATATGAATAACAGGTTTTTGTCGTTAAGCGCGTTAGCGCATGTTAGCCGTTGGCTAACTGCCGTCCTGATCTATGTTAGCGCCAACATAACGGAAGTTTTTCGTGATGACTTTAACGTCGGTAGTCTGGACGTTTCGAAGTGGACAGTTGATCAGCAGAAATATCCACCTGTCTTTGCAAACGAATCCATCCGGACGACCACCGACAATATCCGCGTCGATACCAACGCATTGCGCATTAGAACATCAAACAAACTTGAGCACTCCCGATTCGATTTCACATCCGGTAAAGTCTACACCCAGAATCGCTTTGATTTCCAACTTGGCGGGGAACTAAGTGTCCGGATGAAGTTCTCTCGTGCGGTGTATGAAGTAGCGCAGATCGCGCTCGCCGATTTATATTGTCGACAAACAAAATTGCTAAAGTGCAGTGGTGAAGACTCGCAATTCGGCATCGTGTTGTCGATTGTCCGAACCTATCCGAATCATTTATACTGCCGTTTGCGCTACACAAACAGTTCGGGCGGTAATTACAGCCTGACGCGCGTGTATTACAGGTAATCTGCAAGACAATGGATCGGATGTCAGTCAACTTTAAGTATTTGTACCATTAGCACTAACGACTTTAAAACTGAAAAGCTTGCATTGATGATGTAATCAAACTATCGTGCTTAATAGTGATACGGATTTGTCGCTTGACTTCCACATTCTCAGACTGGTTTGGACAGCCCGAAAGCTGGGTTGGCTGTTGGATGGGAAATTAGTGCTGGATATGACCGTGCCGGGATTAGAAAGGTTACTCGGTGTGCAGATTGTTCTTGCACTGATGCCGAACGCCATAGCGTACAATATCGTCCCAAATCGAAGCTATGTTGACGATATCCGAGCTCTACCGACAGATGAATTTTGGATTGATTATCTTGTACTAAGCCAATCGCCTTTGCCCACAAATATATCATCCGTTCTCTTTAAAATTACTGCTGTCGCACCAGAGAATTCAAACAATGCACTACCGATTTCGCTCGGAGTGGTTACGCCAGCTGCTTTTATTGTTATTGCCACCGTTGTATTTTGGCTAATATTCCAGCACAGAAAGAGAAGGCTCGGAGAAGCCAGCATGCGTCGAGTGACCCGCCAACACCGGCGTCAAAGCCCTTTTATGTCCTGGATACAAATGTCGGACACCCTGTCACCGTTCCACCCGGGTCACATTGCCCTGGACGCTGCGTTGTTGGAGTACTTCAAAATGCTGGAAATACCTTTGATTAAACTCCGTATCTGTGAGTGTTTGCATTTGCGCGCGTAAGGTCAAAGATGGTGTACTTCGCTGCTTCTCGCATTCCGTTCAATAAAGACCGGAAATTCCGCCCATCGATTCACATGAAAATGTTTTCAAAAATTGATTAAATCAGACTTATGGGCATTCTATTCCTTTACACTACAAAACACAGACGTGATTTCATAAAGAAATTGTCAGTAGTTAGTTGGAACGTCTCTTACTGCAGCAGGGTGGCCGGTAAAGAAAAAAGTATGTGCAAGTGCCCGAAATGCAAAAAAACATAATTATTGAATTGTGCTCCGGAATGCAGTTCACCGTATCGTTGTGTTTCGACTTTCAAATAGCGTATTCTTTAAAGCCATAGGTCACGATTGAAAGGTGCTCTGTGTGTCTTGCAGCAAACATTGTTTTGGGAAGAGGAGCAACAGGCCTGGTACGGAAAGCCGTCGCCGAAGAACTTTGTGGGCATATCGGTCCAGTAGACGTCGCCGTGAAGGGTGCCAAAAACAAACATGATGGCCATCAAATTCGCCAGCTGTCACAGGAGCTTACTATCATGGCAAAAGCTGGTCGGCATCTAAATATCATCAATTTACTCGGAGTCATCTTGAAAGGTCCTTAATTTTATTATCCGCATCGAAGGTCTGGTTGTAAGGACAAATCTGAAAGCTGGGGATCAATATATGAATGACCTGACGAATCGGTCGAAACGAAATTTTAGCATATGTACCTCTTTCCATTATGTTCTACGCAGTACTACTGTAGCAAAAAAAAAACAATATTGACCAATACAAAAACTATTCAGTGTGTAAAGATTTGCAACTTTTTTTAGGGGATTTGTTGTTACTGCTGGAATATGCGAGATTCGGGTCGTTGCTTAAAAATTTGAAATCACACCGTGGGCAGCGATTTTATAACCATACCCTGAATGGTGATATTCAGCCGTACGATGAAAATGAAGCCGAACGAATTCAGCGCGAAGCCGACCAAGTACATCCGCAGACGGCAGATGATTCGGATATGCATATTCTTTCCACACGAACGCTGCTGAGTTTTGCGTACCAAATCAGTCGCGGTATGGAATACCTCGCCACACGGTCTATAATCCATAGAGATCTGGCTGCCCGGAATGTTTTGATTTGCGATGAACGAGTGGCGAAAATTTCCGATTTCGGGATGGCCCGGCAAGAGGGACACGTTGTGGCACCTGATCCGAAGGTAGGAGCACTAATTTATTCTGAAGGCTGATTGGACTTACAAACAATGGCATATCATCCGGTAATTTCAGGAAGCTTTGCCCATACGTTGGATGGCACCTGAAGCAACCGCATACAAAAATTTCTCTCAGCCATCCGATGTCTGGTCTTTTGGTGTGGTGTTGTGGGAAATCTTCAGTCTAGGCGAAGTTCCGTACAGCGACAACAACTTAGTGCGAGGCGATACTGTTTTTGAATTTGTCGAAACTTTGAGAAATGGATTACGGTTGGAGCAAACGGAAACTTGTCCCAGTGTTATGTGAGTTTCTCTAATTTAGGGCCTCTACACGTACATGATCGACACGAGGTGAAGCGAAAGTCCTCTATGTTCAAGAAACGCGCCTTTTTTGCCGGTCACGTTGCTCACGCATCTGCAGTTTTTAGGATCTGGAAATAATAGTTACAAATATAAACATGTATTAACAATAAAACAGGATGATAAGTAAAAGCTAGAGTGGGGAAAATTTTTTAAAAAGAAATATACTAAATGCAGACGAAATAATATAATAAATAAGACTGTTTTAATACCGTAAAACCCGATATTAATAACAGTAATTATACTTGTATAATTTACTTTTTATTCCCATTCGGCAGCAGACATTAGGATAAGACCGATAAGTGTTATGTTTTCGAAAGCATATCTGTCGTGTTGGGTCAACGTTTGTATTTTGTAAACTCAGTAAACACTAACAGTTCCTGCAACTCAGGTTCCTGCTTCGCTTCGGTCTTTTAGTGTATGGATAATGGCACTATGGCTGTCAGCCAACAGCACTGCACTTCCTTAGTACATACTCTGTAACTATTAATATTATATCGATTACACCAGTAATGTATAGCATCTACATGCACGCTATAACGTGTACTCATACAAAACTTAAACGAAATTTCTTTTTAGTTACTGCCTAATGTGCGACTGTTGGAAGCTGTCGCCGGATGATCGGCCAACTTTCCCCCGTCTCACCCAACGACTACGGACAATTGTAGATCCTGAAGCAGAGGTCTCCTATCTCAGTCTGGATTACACGTACACGCAATTTAACGAAGAGCACCACGATCTCCTGGAGAGAGTTGGCGAAGCCCAAACACCAACTTGAGGTTTCTGCCGGATACCATAATTTTATTAATCTTTTTTAATTGTGCATAGGCATACGATACACACTACACAGTTAAAATCGGAGGGTAACGATATCCTTGCGCAGCCAGTTTGATTCCCGGCACACTGGCATAGAACAGTTTTGTGAAACAAAACTAGCAGGTGGTTTTTAACCACATACAGCACCACTAAAATAACAGGATCAAGAGAACTGGAAAAGTGACCCGCTCCGCTCTTGACTTCATAAGAAAATGTCCCTCTCGACAACCACTCGCACTTTGCGCATGGAGAAAATCAAGCATAAAGAACTTTTTACTTGTAATGTTTTTGTACTTTCAGAAATTTTAAATACGTGTATGTTCAGGGATTCAGGGTATACGGTATTGGTATACGGTATCGGTATATGTCTGTCGCATCGGTTGTTGAGAAATGTTGAAGTGTGCTAGATGGGAGCAGTCAATTATTGTACTTACTACAAGTAACTATTGCAGTATGCTCTCCAGCGTGGGACACTGTTTATAAAATATTAGAAATATACATGATATCTATTTGTTGAGTAATATAATGGATTTCAGTAAAAGAGTCTGTTTTTAAGCACGATGAAGTAGAGCAAAACTAACTACGGACTACAATAAGAGCTGACTACTGACGTACTGACACACAGACAATGATGGTGACAGGTGCAATAATTAATGGATCACGAATTAGCAACAACAACAATACAGTAATTCATGGTAGTTAATGTAGTAATTATCTGTCGAAACCGGGGAGCTTATTCAATGAAGACAAAAACCAGTTAGCGCATTTTACATCACGCTGCCACTGTAATGGAAACAAAAACAGATATTACTGAAAAGTTGATTAATCGAAGAAAAGTAGATTTGGGCATGCTGTCAATCTCGGCTTTGAGTATACGATACAGATAACGGCGTGCTTGACGGAATTCTCCATAGAAGTGTACATAAAGCTACCAGTACTTCCTTCATCGTTTGCAAAAAAAATTTTTACAGCTTGTGGTGCAGCTCGTAATACTGGATATTAACTCAGTTTTCCGCATCGCCTTACAGACCTTTCTGTTCCGTATCATCTATATCAGAGATCTCGATGCGTTCCTCCCGTTAGGAATTCGGGTGACTAATTTGCACCAATATGAAGCTTATTACGACAGCTGTGTTTGCAGTACTTACAGGCGTGCAGTGGACTGTTTCGGGTATGTACAGTGACAGTGACCACAGACTAAATGCGAGTATCGATAAGGGTAAACGCGAAGCATTTAAAATAAATGGGAGAAGTAGTGCGCGTTGCATAAATGGTAGAAGTAATGCACAACCGGTTCTTTGGTGCATGTATCGTTTACGCTTTTTGAACCTTTTAACAAAATGGGCCCTTACGCCCTATGCCTTAAAAGAAACTACATTCTCCTAATAACCTGTACAGATACATTTTAGCGGCACGTGGAAAAAATGAAACCGTGAGCCGTCTGTAGCCCATACCGTTTTAGGTACAACGTCAAAGGTCTTACTGAACGACTCATTAATTTTATTTCGCAAAGCTTACGGTCATAGTTACAGTGTACCTGGCGGACCATGCACAATTTAATTTGCATGGCATGTGTTTTAATAGTGTGAATTATAAAATCTGAGAGACTTCGACTTAATCTTGTGGATTGTGTATTTGTGAGAAAACTAGAAATGTGGTTTGCAGTAAATGTGGCTATCAATTGTTCCGCCAACGAATTCCAGTGTAACCTTCAACAAGAACTGAATTCATGTATCAACCGCAAGTGGGTGTGCGATGGGAATCCAGACTGCGTGGATGGGCAAGATGAAAAACAACCAGGATGTCCACCAATAGCCCCGTGTGGCCCTGGTCAGTATCAATGTGCAAACGGGCTATGCATTTCATCTCTTCAGGAATGTGACCACGAAAACGACTGTGGCGATCGGTCCGATGAGCACAAAGGGTGCATCTACAGTCCGTGTGAAGGTACTTAATTAAAAATTAATCGTCACTAAACCCCAAATGCTGCTAGAGGACTGGTGAGTTTGTACTGCGTAGAAGTACATACATAATATTTCGACAAAAATGCAGCTGATGGCCTGTTTTCTCTAAGTTTAGATAATAATTAAGTTACATACAGACTGTACAGTAGCACACAGCAGAAACCAAAGGTCATCCTAGCAAGAGCAGGCTGAACCTGTTGTACCGGAGACTGATCATAAAGTTTGCTTGATTTGTTTTCAGTAAATGAAGGCAGGTGTTCTTCTGGAAGCTGTATACCGTCCCGATGGTTGTGTGACGGTGATAACGACTGCCGCGATGGAAGTGACGAGAGAAATTGTACCACTTCGAAATGCAACGACAGTAGTTCGTTTCAGTGCAGTACTGGCGAATGTATGCCATTATCTGCTGTATGCAACAAGTTGAAAGACTGCAAAGATGCCAGGTACTGTATGTATCCCGATGATTGCTTAATTTTCCATTATACGCCAAGTAATCCATTTTTCGACTAACTGAGAATAAATCACAAAGTCAAAACAGCAGTTTGAAGTTTTTTAGCTTTCTTCTTTGTCCATATTTAGGTTGTCATTGCTATTAGTGGAAAAATAAACTCACCGTTTAAAAACTGGAAAAATGAAAAGTAAACAGTTTGTAACTTTGCAGTGACGAGATTGCATGTGAGAACCAATGTCTGAATTCAACGAATCATCAATGCAGCCATATTTGTGTTAACATGCCCGCCAGGGTTTTAGCAGCATATAGATGCGCTTGCAATTCAGGTTATGCGCTCTTGCCTGACGGCAAAGGATGCCGGGATATAAACGAGTGTTTTGAACTTCCGGGTGCCTGTGATCAGTATTGCTATAACACACCAGGGTCCTACAAATGCTCATGTAACACCACCTTCTATACACAAACCGGGCCGACGTCTTGCAAACGTTTGGGCAACGAGGAAACGTGGCTGTTGTTCAGGTATCCTAAAATGACAGTAACATATTTATATGCGTTTTTAGTTTCCGAAACTATGAGTAGTGCGATGTCAGTAATCACTTAGTAGTCTCAGTTCATCAGTGGGGTTGGCCGACGTAGCAAAAGATCATAATTATAGGAGATATCTAAATTTTGTGGCAAGCGTAGAAGCTCCCCGCGGAATGCAACTTCTGTTTTGGGAGCTGTGGGTTATTCTAAAAGCTAGAAGAGTTATTTTTCCTGCTCTACTTATTGGCTATTTGATTTCCAAACTTTCAAAGTAATTGGCAATTTGGCATTGCCTGTACAAGTTAACACATCGATCACACCTAGGAACTTTGTTGCAGTGATGACATGTTCCTGAGTAAAATCAGCACCAATGAGAATCGGTCGCTTTTAACTATCAAAAATAATATTATACGGGAGCCAAGCGGATTCGATGTAGCCATTGCAAAGGGCACGGTGTACTTTATGGTCAGAAAGGAAGGACGGATTTCAAAGGTGAATATTACAAAACTTGATGGAGTTGACAGACGAGAGGATATCCTGTTCCACAAACCGAACAGCGTGGATTATGTGGCTGTTGACTGGGTCACGGAAAAGATTTACTGGACGAATAACAACGAGAAAACCCTGGAAGTAGCACAGACGGACGGGACCTTAAGAAACATTTTGCTGCGGTATGGGTTGGATAAACCTCGAGCGATTGCCGTGCATCCGGGTATTGGGTATGTTTATCTGACGGACTGGGGGAACATCCCGTTTATTGCAAGAATCGGCATGGATGGCACAATGTTCGAGCGCATCATCGCCTCAAAGCTGGTTTGGCCAAATGCTTTAACTATTGACTACATTGGAGAAAGGATCATATGGGGCGACTCACAACTGCATGCCATCGAAATGGCTCAGCTCGATGGAAAAAATCGAATCAAGGTAAGGGTCACCGGACTGGAGCCGGTGGCACAATGTTGTTGAACTAATAAAGGGCGGCAGCGCGTGGCATTAGTTTATGAAAGTTATGCTGCAATTTCTGCATCATGACACGGACGCCTGTTTTTTGGTATGGAAAAAGATTTGCACATAATATAATACGAGTAGAATGACGGATTCAAAGTACCAGTTTAGTATCGTATAAAAACTTGATTATAAATTCATTAAAAATGATTTTAAATATGTTAGCGTACTGCAGTGTTCCGTTTATTCTTCCCTGGCAGTTCAGCATAATCATCATAATTGGAAATGTGGCATAAGTTTCCACCGACCTAAGGAGAACAAAACCGGGCTGCACACAAATAAAGTCATTTTGAATGCCTTCGTAGCATAAAAGCATTGTTAAAGTACTATTACTACAGTTTTAGTGAATTTTATTCGCAATATGGTACAAAAAGAGAGCTTCGCTCAGCAAATTCAATCAATATTACGCTTTTGTTGTGCAGATATTACCTGTATCGGATGTCGTATCACTGGCGGTTTTTGAAGGATGGGTGTACTGGAGCGATCGAGATTTAAAAGCTATAATGAAAGCTCAAATGTTTGTGGACACCAAAGGGACAATGATCCAGCAAAGTGCCCGTTTTAAACCAGAAATAAAGGTACGAGACGAAAGAGAGTTGCTGCGACAGCCGGCATATCTCAAGGCCAATCTATGTACAATAATCATGTATAAAGTACTGATCGCCTTGCCCGTTTTCAACTTCGCATTGAGTGGTCAGTAGTCACTAGTCACAGTATTCAGTCATGACCACCAGGGATCGGTTCTTGCGAAGCGTAACACGCGTCACGCGGATATCAGATTCAAAATGTACCATACCGTAATATTGTCGCGTTGCTCCGCATGTACTGTGAACACAAAAACTTCAGGAAAATTATCCCCCTTACAGTTAGACACTGTACGAATACATATACCTGGTATTGCGTGGTATGGTGTCTACTGAGTAGCACATTTAAACCCGTTGACCCTCCGGATTTATGATGCGTAATATGGCAATTTATGAACATACAGTAATTATGTACTGTACCTACAGATCTGGAACACAATCCATCAACCAAATTATACCAACCCCTGTGTGAAAAACGGTGGATGTTCGCACCTTTGCCTGATATCCCCCAAATTCACCGCTTACGCCCCACCCACTTATAGATGCTTATGCCCAAAAGGCTTCAAGTTGCAGCCTGACAATCATACATGCACCGCCAATTGTTACGCCAATCAGTTCCAGTGCGGCAAGCCAGATGAAAAATGCATCGATAAGCTTTGGGAGTCAGTTGTGTCTTTTCTAAGTCGTTCGGTGTTAGTGATGGCTTCAAGAAACATTTCGCAGCCTATTAATGAACCTTTTATAGATGTGATGGAGAAAAAGACTGTAAAGACGGCTCTGATGAGGGTGCGCGCTGTCCAGCACGGTTTTGTGAAGCTGGAAGATTGCAGTGCAATCAGCGTTTTTGTGTCAATGCGTCGGACATCTGTGATGGTACAGACGATTGTGGAGATGGCTCGGACGAGATGCTATGCGATTTACCGTGTGAGGAAGGACAATTTAAGTGCAAAACTGGGAACTGCATTTCCGACAGAGTAGTATGTAACGGTAAAAACAACTGTGGAGACAACAGTGACGAAATCCTAAGCCTATGCAAAGCAAAAGTATGGTACTGTAACATTTGCATCACTTGGATCATAAAACAGCAACCATACATGAAGTTTGCCTGCATTAAGTACTTAGTAGATTTGCGATGCCGTGACGGAGTTTAAGTGCCGAGCGAATGGTCGCTGTATTCCGGCGACATGGTACTGTGATGGAGATTATGATTGTTCCGATGGATCGGACGAACCACGCATCGTCTGTGGTCAACGAGGCTGCTCGCCGGGCTGGAGCCGTTGTCTTGGAACGCCCTCAAGTTACAAATGCGTGTCGAGTAAGAACTGTGCACGTTATACACCTGAGCGTGTAACTTTATTACACTGCGTTACAACTCAGACCTCAGTCAAAGAGCTTATTGTGAAACGTACACCCGGTTGTGTCAACATGTTTCAGAAAGTGTCTTCTGCGACGGAAGAAGAGATTGCCCGAGTGGTTGGGATGAACTACCTGAACGGTGTCCGGATTGCACGGAATCAGTAATCAATGTCTCGATGTCTGTGCGATTTCGGTGTGCCAATAAAAGTGTATCGTTCGACGTTTCGTCTGCAACTCAATAAATGATTGTGGCGACGGCTCTGACGAAACTCCAGAGTTATGCAATAAACGGTAGGTAAGTGGTAATTAACCGTAATTTATGTGCTGAGGCAAAAATTCGAGCGCGCAAACCGTCCTCAAAAATCACAATATGCTACTGGGCTTTAATACTCGTAATTTAGAAACTCCGTACCGTTACTCCAACCGGGTGACGGCAGCCAGCCTCCCTCGTATAAGTATGTACTTATTAAACTTATCAGTCTTACTGTATCTAAAGTTTAAACACAGTTTAGTTACTTACAGAGTACTTATGAGGCGTTTCTAGGTCACAAGTTTGGCGGAGCATCTGTTGGGTTACATTTAGCATTTGTACTAACGGTCCCGAACTGGTTGCACTCGTACTACCTGCCCTCACTTTAGTACGAGTACTTGCATATTTTAAACGGCCGTCTTGTATTTTAGCGTCATCGGACAAGCCAATTCCACCGTTTTGCGTTGTGGCAACACCAATCAATTCAGATGCAATAGTACTAAAGCTTGTGTTCCAATGGAATCCATTTGCGACGGTGTTACTGATTGTCTGGATGCTTCTGATGAGATGAACTGCGCCCTTTCTCCATGTAGCAACGCAACAGATTTCAAGTGCAACAACACCGCCTGCATACCGGAGGCGTTAGTGTGCGATGGAGATCCGGACTGTACGGACGGTTCGGACGAAAACGGTTGCACACCCACCGATTTACTTAAAAACTGGAATATTACGAGTGCCAGCGCTGCCATGGACGACCAAAATGATGGATATATTTGCTTTTGCGCAATTTGTTTTTATTTCATAATGAACGGTAAATTTCATCGTTGACCTCATAGTTTCTCTCTTAGAATGGCCAAAACGCTTCGAAGCCGAGATTATCCTCAGAACCGCTAGTGTAAACGTTCATTTGGGCAAAGGGAGAAATTTTACGAGTGTCTTAGTTATAACGAACGGACTGGAAAGTTTGTAACATCTCCAATAAACCTCGGCAAATCACTTAAATACAGTAAGTACTCTGTACTTGGCCATTGCCATTCTAATGGCAGTTGGTCAGTTGGCCATGTGCTTGGCCATTTGCTCAGTTTTTACCAATCTTGCACTTTCACGCACCCATCGTTTTTTTGCATTAAAATTCTAAATTAAAAAAAATAAACCTACGTAAAAGGAACTTAAGGATAAAGATCCCACTAATCGGTAGATACCAGTCACATAAAATTTATTGGTCCAGAACAACGATCCGAGGCAGCCGATGCCAATTAGCAAAAAACAACGTTACCTTTTGCAACACTGAAATATTGTCGTATGTCGCGAAGACGTTACACAAGGCCGGTGCCGCATTTCAGTGATGCCTTAGAAATTTAACTAAAGGTAAACCTGCGGCTATCTACTGGTGTGCGAGTATTGTATTTTTTCTCATTTTGCTGTTGCGATAACAGGCGTCTGTGAAAAAGAAGCGAAGTGTTATAGTGGCATCATTCGTAACTGTGGTAACAGTTTGCTTCAGCGCATGAGCATGAGAAACAGTTCACTCAATCTGTAACCACGAATAAGGAATAAGTGCAGGTAGCTTGGACGCGGAAATGCACCGCGAAGTTCCTGAGACGCTCTGTCTCCATAGATCATTGAACAGGTGTACTCGTACAGATATTACGCATTTTATTAAATGCGTTTGAAATTTGCAGTAAATACGTAAATCGGAGAGCAACCTAATAAAATTCAGCTCAATTAATCATATCATTCTGCGTTAGCGTTCAGCACTGTCGTGCGTTCTTTGGGTTACATGCATCAATAAATCCACTGGACTGCCAGTAGCATCCCCTTTGATCACAAAGATACAAAAAACCGTTATCGTACAACCGCAACTCGGGGTCGACGTGATTCCCACTGGTAATCGACCACCACACGGGGCTGCCATTGCTATCATACGCCACTAAGTTGCCGTTCGCATACAGATGTAGGCTACTGATTCTTTTAAGTGAAGCTGTTCTGAAACCTTGTCGACAATCACACTTCCGCACTACCGTTAGGTAATTGTTACTGGCCACGTCATACATGATAAATGAATAATCTCCATTCTTAGAGTAATAAGTCGAGCCCAGGTCCATCTCCTCCTCTGCCTTAAGAATAACTGAAAGTAAGCGAAGAAACAATAACAAGATTGGAACAATAACGTCTACAGAAGACCTACGATTCGCAGTTTTTGACATTCTGACAGGACTAGTACAGATATTAGAAGCACTTCTGTTATAAACCATTTGTACCTACATTGTCCAACTGCGTGGACGGTATCCTAATGGAAGTTATGGTTAACTATCCTCTGCGTGTACATATTTATTTGTATCAGATGTAAGTGTGTCCGTACTGTATATAGGGGAAGAAGTAGACGTGTTCCACCGTTCCCCTGTACTGCTGCCGTCACCCAGCTGGAGCGTGACATTACGGCAATACATATGGCTAAATCTGGCGCGGTACATAAGCGCCATGTTCAGCCATAAGGTCCATATTTAAACGTCACATTCCAAGCGGGTGACGGCAGCAGTACAGGGGAACGGTGGAACACGTCTACTTCTTCCCCTATAAACAGTACGGACATACGTACATCTGTTACAAATAAATAAGTACACGCAGAGGATAGTTAACCATAACTTCCATTAGGATACCGTCCACGCAGTTGGACAATGTAGGTACAAATGGTTTATAACAGAAGTGCTTCTAATATCTGTAATTAGTATAGAATTTTTGTAAAATTATGTAAACTTTCCAGTAGATTTTCCAGTAGCCTGTTGAAGTCTCCGTTAGTGGAATTTGGCTACCACAGGTGCCATAGTAATAATAATAATAGCAATAACAATGAGTGCAAACGCTTCAGGATTTAATTACATATGTAAAATTACCCCCATAATGGTAAAACGTAGCCGGTGCATAGTTTGATATTCCATTGCAACCTTGATTACGTTGACCCGCGGAGCGCCAGTAGCATGACTCTGAATTGCATAGATAGAAGAATCCGAGATCGGATACAAGTAAGCGTGATTCTCCATAGCCCCATGTCGCCGTATCCCAGTACAGAGTTTCCATCCTGTCATTTATATTATAAGTTCCCAGCATAAAGTTCCCATCATTAGAGAGGAAGGCTTTAGCCGGTGGTAAGGCCTCGGTTCTACTTGCGAAGACAGGAGCACTATCGCACTCTCGGTAAAGTACCAAATTCTGGTCCGTTTGCAAAGTCAGTCGGAAGGTTTTTGAGGGAGAATAGTAGTTCTTGCCGGGGACCATAAACTCTGAGGCCTTTAGTGCCACTGGAATCGAAAATAATGTCAGTCGCACTCGGACAGTCTAAGGCCGGGCTGTACTGCGGGAGTCTGCGGCATCTTGTTCCACTGTAACCGACCTCAAACGTTTGGACAATAAAAATTACCTGCCATTCACCGCATCCGAACGTTCTGGTCGGTTACAGACGGGCCAGCCAGCAATACGTACTACTACATAGGGCGAGGGCGGTTACAAAAAGAACGTGGTAATGTATACTTACCGCTACCGTTTGCAAACTGTTCTGCCGACGTGAGGTTTAGCGTACTGGTTGACGGCGACGGGGATCGTTCCGGGTTCCTGCACTTTTCCGTTGAATGCTGGATAGAAACTGCAGAATCATTCTGTCACTATTGCTCCAACTTCCAAGCGCTAAGTACATACAATAAATGTAGTTACGATCTGCAATCAGCAGTACCTACACGGACTGAAACAAGGCATGTAGATGTGTTTGTCCAGCAGATCAGGGTCATAGCGAAGAAGCTGTTCTTCCGTATTTTTTATCACCATTTCCGAAACAGTACAGTTTTGCTTATCTGTACGACAATATGAGGTGCAACTCATACAGCCAGCTGCAATTTCATTGATGTTAAGAAATAGTAGCACAGATAGCGGTCACTTACTTGCTGTCATGGCACTTGTCCTCAAGAAAGAGTATACGACAATGTTCATGCACGCGTACAAATATTTGCGCAACAAGCAAGGAAACATGATAATTATTAGGAAATATCGAGACAGCCCTTCGACAAAGGAGTTTCTGCGATTCTGCACTTCAGACAATTCTGCAATTTTTTTCTCGATATTTGCGGACAACCTTTTATGCCCTTGGACAGCAGATGCAGATAAAATGGGCGAACCAGATATATGATCGAGTGAGTAGAAAACCCAGGAATTTAAAAGATATGACAGTAATGGTTCACCAGAAATTGACGGGTATTAGCTGCTTTTGTTGCTCCGCCAACAACTTGACATCAGTTGTGCAGCAACTAAAAAAGTCTGTCAGACATTTCTATTCACCGGCAAGACATTAAGTACATTACATCACCGTTTTAGCGAAATCGCTTCGATCTTGACAGTTAATGGCACCCTGATTGATAGCAGAAATTAAATTTGGGCATGTTAATGATCAACATTGTTTTACCTCGCAATTGCAGCTAAAGCATTCTTAAGTCAGAATATGACATGTTGACGTCGAAAACACAGATATGATTATAGTAAAAAATAAGCAGCTTGGTGCTTAATGTCTACCACGTGCTTTTGCAGCAGTGGACGAGGTAACTACAGTAATACGACCGAGAACGTAGATATGGGGCCGGCGCTAAACGGCAAACACCCGGCAGAATGGGCTGCTGATGCTGGCGGATGGAGAAAATAAACGGCTTTTTCAACGCCTGCAAAGCCTTAGCAATCTCCACGATACGGCTCTCGTTGGGAACGACCACAGAGCCAAACGACACATACACCACGGAATTATCAGCTTGACGGTCCAACCAACGTGTGACCTTTTGTCCGAGTTCGGCGTGGCTGGGATTTTTATCGTCCTTCTCTTCCGGCATAAACGGTCCAACGCAGTAATAGTCCATGTTGCTCATACGCAAATCCTGTTTGATTTCGTCGATAAAATGCTGTTCAATTTCCCGGAACGAATTGGTAAGCATCCCGTTACCGGTGGACAAGAACGGGTTAATGCCTAAACACATCCCCTTCATAATCTGACCGATGGCTGGTTGTGGGCGTTCCGACTCGGGACGGATAAAATCAAAACTTTCCAAGTCGTTCTTTTCGATTACCGGTGTGCGCTCGGTGATATACAGAATAGTGCGGAACGGTCCAATGGATGAGCAGTTTAGAAAATAGTAGGGCAGTTTACGTTTCAGACACCCGACTACACTGGCAGCAATAAAAATATCCGCTACCAACGCATTAACTGGCACGGTAATACCGTAGCGTTCTACACCATCTGCGGGCGGCTGTCCAGCGACAGGAAGACCTTTAATCAGTTTTTGCATTGCCGGGACGCCGTGGTCTTTGAACCCTACAAAAGACATGTAGCAGACGATATCCTCTGATTCATTTTCCGCGATGCCGTCTTCCAGTCCGACAACGTGGATGGATTTTTCATCTTCCGGTGTAATCTCTTGTTTCTTGCGAATGTGCTCCACGGCAGCTTTGCAGATGACGAAGGTGACTTTGTGTTGGCGAGATGCCAGCTTCCTCGCCAATCCTACCATGGGGATGGTGTGTCCGTAACCCGGGACAGAGACAAGGAGAAAATGTTTTATCTCCTTTTGGGCCATTGTAAATTGGTGATACTACTAAAAACAAGTTATTGCTCTGGCTTCGTTGAGAATTCTTAAGTTTAATAAATTTATAACCGTCAGCAGGAATCAAACCGGCAAAGCGTGGATAAATAAATGTACCATCGAAAGAAAACGTAAACGTGATCAGCAATCAACCAGAGAAGTCGCTACAAATCCCACGATAAAGGCGCCTGTGTAATGATAAAACACGGTATCCAGTTCGTAACTGATGGTGTGTCCAAAGATATGTAAAACTACATAGAGTACTCTAGGTATCCAACACGCAAAATCCACATCAAAATGTAATACAATCCACTGCAAATACGCGAGCCACGACGAGCGTGTACTCATACTTTGTACCGCGCGAATACTGGAACAAGATTTGAATTCGTTTCACAAAAGCGGCCAAACCAGGTAACATTTTGGTTTCTTGTTTGCTTTACATATATACGAGGACGATGGGATTAATTTGCAATACCCAGCAGTTTGAAAAAAATGCATTCAACGCATTGCTGTCAACTATTCTACAGAACAGGTTTTAAACCACTGCTCGTAGCAATAGTTCAGTTGTCAGGTCACAAAACGGCATAGACAGCATGGCACTTATCAGACTGATCGTGAGTTGTCAGAATTAGCGTAGAAATGTAGAAACATTTCGCTCAGATTAAAATATAACGTACCATGACAGTTAATATTATTACCTTGCATTATAGTGTACAGATGGACACAATAAAAAGAATGATATTACAGTAATGTTTATAATTATGTAATTGTTATTTGGCTACCGCCAAAATTACGGATTCATTTGACACGAGTTAGAGCCATACATTATAATTTCTGACGCAACCAGGTCCGAAAAGGTGTACGAATAAACTGTTGATTGCTTAATACATGAAGCCAGAAGCCGTAATAAAATAGTTATCGATTGCGAAAATTGTGAAATTTTGCAATACTGGTGAAATATAATAAAATTACAATTAAATAAAGTATAGTTTTTGTTAAAGGCCTTTGTCTGGACACTGGTTTCTTAGACAAACCAGATACTGGATACTGGATACTGGATACTGGTGTGCCAAAATCAGCTTTTGTGGCGCCCAGTGCAAAAATAATCCCGGTGCTGCGGGGTCATCGAGATGGGTGTCAATACCGACGCGCACATCACCCGGCAGAATAGATTGTTAATTCTGCCGGATGGAGAAAATGAACGGCTTTTTCAGCGTTTGCAGCGCCTTGGCCACCTCGATGATGCGATTTTCGTTAGGGACGACCACAGAACCAAACGACACATACACTACCGATTTATCGGCTTGACGATCCAACCAGCGTGTGACCTTCTGACCCAGTTCCGCGTGGCTGGGGTTTGTGTCGGCTTTCTCTTCCGGTACAAACGGCCCAACGCAGTATAAATCCAAATTCTTCATTCGCGGATCCCGCTTAACCTCATCAATAAACTTCTGCTCAATCCCTCGGAAAGAATTAACCAGCATTCCGTTAGCAGTGGCGAGAAATTGGTTGATGGACAAACAGAGACCTTTCATGATGTGACTGATCGCCGGTTGCGGGCCTTCCGATTCCGGTCGTACAACATCAAAGCTCTGCATGTCGACTTCTTCGGACTGCTTCACCGGTGTCCGCTTGGTAATATTGAGCATCGTGCGGAAAGGTGCAATATAGGTGAGCAGTTTAGGGCCAAAGGTCACGGAATTTGAAGGGCATCGTGCGGAAAGGTCCAATAGCTATTAATAGCTGAGCAATTTAGGGCCAGGCCAGCTCACGCTCACAGACTGTATACGAGGTTTGCGGTTTGGATGACTTCAAAGACAATCTGGGCTTGACTGTTGAAACTGTTCAGCTGCTTAACTCCGTCGGATATACAACTATCGCAAAGCTTCTGAGACATACTTTCATACGAACTAATTAAAGAAATCTAACTAGACCTTTTCGCACGATGCTCAGTATTGCCGAGCGGACACCGGTGAAGGAGCTCGAAGAAGCCGACATGGAGAGCTTCATAATATGTTCTCTGTTTAAGGTGTGCTGTTCTGTGTATATTCTGTGTTGCTTCTTGAATTATGTATAATACAGACATTTTACTATCGGTACCGTAAAGTTTGTAGAACCGTACAAATTGCATAAACGTTAAAGCCCACTGAGCAAACGTATACGGCAATGACATGCGATGACTATTAATATTAGTACTCCTATATAAACTAAAGTAGTTTGAAAATTTTTTTTAAATTAATCGAACCTAATGCATTTCACGCAACGTACTTTTGTATCAACTATGTAGTGACAGCTCGATAACATCGAGAATAAAGCAACAGAGAAGCTACGCAAAACATAGAATTAAAGGAGGAAACGTTACAAATGCACTTATTAATTGTCAGCAAAATAGCCAATATAAGCCACAACCCACAATGTCATATCGCTTCGATAATTTAGCCCGAGTTGACACAGACTTATTACACCACGGCATCAATAAAGTCTTGCAGTTCACGGTTAGAACTTCCACCCGGTGCGACGGCCTCTCGAATCTTGTCCTTCCATTTCAGCGCCGACTTCCGTGCCACATCACTCTCATATCCAACGCGCCGGACAGCTGCGGCAATTTTTTCGCTGGTGATGTTCTTTTTCTCTTCATCATTATCAGCGTGCTCGCGACGAAGCAATGACTCTCCCAAACCCATCTCTTCAATCCACAAGGAATTCTCCAGTTGATCCCCAAAAATCGGCCAACCCACAATCGGCTTGCCGTTGAACAAACTCTCAATAGTACTATTCCATCCGCAATGGCTGACAAAAACCGCTGTGGCTCGGTGGGCCAGAATCAGTTTCTGAGGCGCCCAGTGCAGAAACAGTCCTGGCGCTTCCGGATTATCCAAGTGTGTATCGATGCCGACGCGTACATCACCCGGCAGAATGGATTGCTGATGCTGGCGGATCGAGCAGATGAATGGTTTTTTCAGCGCCTGCAGAGCCTTAGCAATCTCCACGATACGGCTCTCGTTGGGAACGACCACAGAGCCAAACGACACATACACCACGGAATTATCAGCTTGACGGTCCAACCAACGTGTGACCTTTTGTCCGAGTTCGGCGTGGCTGGGATTTTTATCGTCCTTCTCTTCCGGCATAAACGGTCCAACGCAGTAATAGTCCATGTTGCTCATACGGGAATCCTGCTTGATCTCGTCGATAAAACGCTGTTCAATTTCCCGGAAAGAATTGATGAGGATTCCGTTGCCGGTAGACAAGAATTGGTTCATGGCTAAACACATCCCCTTCATCATTTGACCAATGGCCGGTTGCGGGCCTTCCGACTCAGGGCGGATAGTCTCGAAACTTTCCAAGTCGTTCTTCTCGGTTACCGGTGTGCGCTCGGTGACGTACAGCATACTGCGGAACGGTCCGATGGCCGAACAGTTTAGAAAATAGTAGGGCAGTTTGCGCTCCACACATCCGACTAAACTGGCTGCAATGAAAATATCCGCTATCAATGCATTAACCGGCACTTTGATACCATAGCGTTCTTCAGCATCCGTGGGGGGCTGTCCAGCGACAGGGAGGCCTTTGATGAGTTTTTGCATTGCCGGGACGCCGTGGTCTTTAAACCCTAAAAAGGATGTGTAGCAGACGATATCCTCCGATTCATTCTCCGCGATGCCGTCTTCCAGTCCGACAACGTGGATGGATTTCTCATCTTCCGGTGTAATCTCTTGTTTCTTGCGAATGTGCTCCACGGCAGCTTTGCAGATGACGAAGGTGACTTTGTGTTGGCGAGTTGCCAGCTTCCTCGCCAATCCTACCATGGGGATGGTGTGTCCGTAACCCGGGACAGAGACGAGGAGAAAATGTTTTTGCTCCTTTTGTGCCATGGTGAATTGGTAACACTAGTAAGGAACAAGAAAACAGTGGAAGCTTGCTCGGTAATGTATTCGCTGACGTTCTTACGAATTCTTCAACGTAATAAATTTTTTACCGTCTGGAGGAATCAAACCGGCAAAACGTGGAAGAATAAATATACCGTCGAAAGAACACTTAAACGTGCTCACCAATAATCAGAGAAACTGTTACAAACTGTGAGATAAAGCGCCTGTGTAATGATAAGATACCTACCCTAGTGCAACTGCAATATGCACTCTAGATCTCCAAATACCGTAATTATCGAATTTGTGGCCCTGGGGTACAAATAGTTCGAAGGCTATGGCGGAGGGGGGCGTATTTCGGGGAGGGGGCGCAATTTCGGGGGGTGGCACTATTTTTCGAACGGTATTTTTTGGGAGGGGGCATCATATTTCAAACAACTTCGCATCCAGTTCTAGTGGACCTGAACGCAGTAGTTACCTGTATACGCAACAGCGCAACCTTCCCTGCAACATTTTCGAGCGTATACTGAGATCCCTGTACACCTTTTTTTGCCAACGAATACCGCATTATATTGATGTGCGTTTAATGTTTGCTCATAAGCACAACAATTTTTAAAAAGCATTTGCGGTACACCAATAATTTTGCAGCGCTTGACATTTAATAACGGCCCCCTGGGGCGTAATTTCGGGGGGTGGCCTTATTTTTCAGAGAGGGTCGGGGAGGGGGCTTATTACAGGGGGGCTCTTATTGCGGGGGGAGCCACAAATTCGATAATTACGGTATATCGTACGTATTTGACACTGGTTTAGCGCTTACCATTAATTAACTGCGTGCAGATTGTGGCATGCCGCATGACGGTTATCTTTCCGTGTTTCTTGGAATGATTAAATTAGCGAAGTCATGATTGTCTGATACTTTTACCGAATTACAGATATCAGAGAATTCCACGTAACTGGATCCAAAGATATGTAGAGCTATAATATAGATACCCAACATGCAAAATCCACATCATGATGCAATGCGATGCACGGTGTACTCGTACTTTGTACCGTGCAAATACTGGAACAGGTTTTGAATCGCTACTACAAAAGCGGCTAAGCCAAACTGCATTTTAGTTTTTTGTTCTCTTTATAGGAGGACGATGGGAAACTGCAATTCGGAGCAGCTGCTCCGAATTGCAGTTTCCGAATTCCGAATTCAGTTTCCGAATTCCGAATTCCGAATTTTAGTTTTTTTCAGACTGCAGTCTGAAAAAAACAAATATTAATTCACATTCAACAGAATTCTAACAACTATGCAGAACAGGTTGTAAACTTTACCGGCTTGCAGCTGCTGCAGTCATAAAACAACTGCATGGAATCGGACTATTTAGTGTAAAAATGTTCAGATTCAAATATAGATATCTTACTAGCTATACACCGTATAATTATACATGTTCAGATTCCAATATAGATATCTTACTAGCTATACACCGTAGATACGCCACTGTGACAGGCAAGCACAGAGAGCTCACAGATGACTTTATTGTACAAATAAAGTGGAGCAAATGCCGCGTGAATGCGGGGAAAAACACAACAAAGGCCAGTGTCTGGCAGAAATCAGCAAGTCAAGTTGCTGCGAGCTAGTTCTAGAGCGTAATGAAATGTAGAGAAAGAAATGTGCTGGCGGCAACGGCGTCACGCTGTCCAGACACATGGAATGTGAGTGCGCAGACTGGACTCGTATCCAACGCGAGCGAATATACGCTGAGTCATACAGCGAGAGAGAGGAGCGAGAGAGCAAGTATGCTCAGTGAGTGCGCCCGCGGTGTATCCGCATAGGCGGAGAGTGCAGTGCAGCCACTCACGTACGTACAAGAGAGGGCGAATCAGCATGTGTGCAGTGATACGCATACGCAAAGTGGCGTATCTATCACGCAGGCTGTCGTGCCTCTAACACCACACTATATGTACACCAGATATCCGTTATTAAGTGTACATATTATGCTGACAAGTGACGATAATATTTCTTAAAAGAACACCATTGACTTTTGTATGATAATGATTAGTTTGGTTACCGGCGTACCGCCATAATTTTATTACGTACGGCCGGGTTGATTTATTAATACAAATCCAGACCATTATGGCGTATTGTACGCTGGTTGGAAGAAATGTGTGAGTAAACTGTCGCTTGTTTACATGAAGCCGCAATAATTAGTACAGTAAAATAATTATCGGTTGACGATTTTGAAAATTGTGAAATTTGCATTACTGGAAAGGAGACGCTTTTCAAGACACTGGACAGTGGACGGCACTGATGAATACACAGCCAGCCACTTATGAGTAAATTGTATGAGTGCTTATGAGTAAATTGTTAAAGCAGACATGCCACCACCGGGCAGCATCTACAACGACCGTTTAACTACTCCAGGGTTGTTCTCACCCATATCGCACGTTTGGATTAATATCGATAGCGATAACGGATTAAAAATTTTAATATGACAATTTTATTCGCTAATAACTACCGAGTAGTTAGTGTGTTACTGACTTACTGTAGTTTCTTCCTTGAAAGCTAAATTTTGCCCAAAAACACCATCAGCGCACCATAAATTTTCCCATTGTTTGAAAGTATGGCAAGTGCAGATCAGACTGCACCACCTCTTGATCTGGACGATCTGCTGCAGCAGACCTTGGCTGACTTCGACAAACCCGATCTCCTTCCCAGTGAAAAATCTCTCCACAATCCGTCCGCTCCTGGTGCCTCCCATCCCACGCCATCTGCAAAATCTCCCCACCCCCCCTACTGCGCATCCACCCCCACTAGCCGATGACGAGGAGAAGTTTTTCCGTGAAACCTCCCAGGAGATCAACGAGATCCTCACCTCCATCGACCAGGAAGATCCCGCGCTAGCTCAACAACTCCGCACCCTCACCGAGTTCGCCAACAGCGTCCACAAGCCCGACGAGCAGACCGCCATGCACAATTTTACCCAGTTCGCCTCGCTCTTTAAGGAAACCCTGCAGACCATCAGCACCCACACGGGACTGCAGTCGGACGAACTGGTGGATGATGATCTGACGGATATCATGGAGAATTTGGATAAATTAGCCATGGGTAAGGAGAGCGGGGCGGGTGCGACCGAGGGGATTCCCGATGTGGTGCAGTCGATGCTATCGAAATCTGTGATGCTCAGTTCGTTGAAAAAGTGCCATGAGGAGTATGCGCCGTGGATTGCGGACAAGCGCGGGACACTGGCGCCGAAGGAGCTGGAACGGTGTGAAGCGCAGTTAACGCAAGTGGGCGCCTTGATTGCCGAGTATGAAAAAGCCGAGGAGCCGTGTTATGCGCGCATTGTGGAGATGATGGCGCGGTTGCAGGAGTTGGGGGAATTTCCGGAGGAACTGATGGCGAAAGTTAATACTAAAGCGTTTGTCGGGGGAACGGAGGGGAAACGGGATGAGCGGCCGGAACTGGATGTTCCGGACTGCAGGACCTCGTAATCTGTTTTTTTTTATCTTTTTGGTCGTTCATATTGCCAGTTCATAATTACAATTCCAGTTCATTTTTTTGAATTTTTTGTAGTGGTTGCTTTCGCCGTATTACGCTTTGGCATTGTGGTGCACGTTGGCTGCTTTATTGTATATCTGCTAGTCAGAATCTCTACGAGTATTGTTGTGTGTATTAACATTATTTACAGTTTACAAGTGCTCGCTGCATTTACAGTAACTTACATGAGTTACAGACTTACAGTCATAAAATAAACGAATAATATATGTTTTAGCTATTGTATTAAAGGTTTTCCATATTACAGTATAACTGTTGTCCATACTTCTATTACATATTAGTGATATGACTGATATTACAATTTGTGGATTATTCCGGATAAACAGTTTCAGCAGAAATCTCTTCGCGCTGACGATGAGAGTTCAGCAGTAACGAGTTTTTTCAAAAGAGATCTTTTGTCGTTCAGCGAGACATCAGTTACCCGGTCACGCGATGTATATACAGTATATACGTCGAGCATGATTGCAATCGTCTGGACTTGGCTCAATTCCACTGTTTACACAATTTATCTGTAGGTACTGACCGTACTGTACATGAAGTGTGATGCAATGCAATAACTTCCCATTTGCTTTTTGTGTTTGCTTTTCCAGGTATGTACATTATACATATACCTAACTTTTAATACAAGTCTATTGTCGTGTAGGTATTCCTATACAAATCATTACTGGTTTTTACGCTACAGACAGATAGAGACTTTGAGCGCCAAAAATGAATACGATCATTATGCGGGTAAGACAGAAGTACCGGTTTGCTGCCGGGGACGGGTGCTTAGTCTGCTGACAGTGCGGTATTGTCCCATGTCGTGTCGTGAATTTGCGTTGCTTGCAAAATCATTGGAGCTTTGCTTTTATAATCGCCTAGCGTTCGCACATAAGTGCCCGTAAGCGGCATCGTGCACGTGCCAATCAATGTATCGTTCCTTCATAGATGCACGCTTTTTTTTAAATTCACTCATATAATTCATATTTCATTTATTAACCATAGCTTAGTACTGTCCGATAAGATCGATTGATTTTTCATCTTCCGGTGTGATTTCACTCTTTTTTCGAATATGTTCCACAGCAGCTTTGCAGATGACAAAGGTGACTTTGTGATTACGCGCTGCCAGTTTTCGGGCCAATCCCACCATCGGGATGGTGTGCCCGAATCCCGGGATGGAAATCAACAGAAAATGTTTTGTGGTGTTTTGGGCCATGGTATATTTGCACTCTAGCGCTTATATGAAATTCAGAAAATGATACCTAGCGCTTATATGAAGTTCGGAAAATAGTACCGGTGCTGCTAGCGGTCTGACTGCTAACTCTTGAGAAATCACACTGGCAAGATCTGGAGCAACGTTACTGCTGATATACAAATATAAAGGAGAATTAAAGTCAGAGTTCGGCATCGCCGACACGTGCACTGATAAGATAAGCACTGTAATTGTTTGGAAATGCTAATTAATCAAAATAATACGATCGCATGCTGTAATAGATATGGATTACTAACTGGTCGGCGTTAAAACCGCTGCCATATCTTTCTCGCATTCATTATACTCGCAGTTACAGTAGATCGAATCATGAGCCAATAATCTGTCTAGTGCATTTCTCGATTAGAATTGTTTGAAGTAGGCCCTGGTTCTGCAGAGTGGGTATCAAATTAATTAATTGGAAAGGGTTTCTACTAATCTGCTATGTGTACAAGCACAGTACGAGTACTGTAGCCGGGCAATTATTTTAATAGTTTTGTACACAGGAAAGTATTATACTCGTACGTGTAACACGTATTCTGTATCAGGTGTTTCTGTTCTGTATTCTGTTGTTCCAGAATCGTTTACAGTAGAAAGTATAGTTACACAATTCATAAAAGTTGAAGTTCAGTCTTACGTATACGACATTGATGATGGGCGATGAATGTTAATTAGCAATCCTCTGTAAAGTAGTTTCACAACCTTTTTTTAACTAATCGTACTTCATGAACTTCGCGCAACGTACGGTTATATTAATTATGTACTGACAGATCGTTAACATCGAGAATTAAGTAACAGCAACGCGATGCAAACATAGAAAGAAGGAAAATTAGTATTGTAAATGCACTTGTCGGCATAACTAGCCCCTATAAGCCACAACACAAAACTAACATCGCCGAAATTAAGTTCAGCAAGAGTTGACACAGACTTATTACACCACGGCATCAATAAAGTCTTGCAGTTCACGGTTAGAACTTCCACCCGGTGCGACGGCCTCTCGAATCTTGTCCTTCCATTTCAGCGCCGACTTCCGTGCCGCATCACTCTCATATCCAACGCGCCGGACAGCTGCGGCAATTTTATCGCTGGTGATGTTCTTTTTCTCTTCATCATTAATTATCAGCGTGCTCGCGGCGAAGCAATGACTCTCCCAAACCTATCTCTTCAATCCACAATGCATTCTCCAGTTGATCCCCGAAAATCGGCCAAGCGACAATAGGCTTGCCGTAGAACATGCTCTCAATAACGCCGTTCCATCCGCAGTGGCTGACGAAAACCGCTGTCGCTCGATGGGCCAAAATTAGCTTTTGCGGGGCCCAATGCAAAAACAGTCCTGGTGCTTCCGGATTATCCAAGTGTGTATCAATGCCGACGCGTACATAGCACTGTGCAGTACATTGTATGTAGTAGACTACAAGACGATCCGCAGTTAACGTATCGTTTACTATCTTTAATTCAAATTTTCAAACTAGCGTTAATGGAAACATCTTAACGTAATCCGTTTGTGAACATAAAACTGAGATGACTCCCGGCAGAATTTCAGTTTACATTCTTAATTTTTGTCCATTTCCCAGATGAGCGTGATGTACGTCAAAGTGACCCCACATACCTGAATAACACCCAGCCTTGTCAACTTGCTGTCTTGACTGTATGCTCACATCAAGTAACGGAAAAACAAGAAACTTCAATAGTGCTACATTTTAAATTAATGACACTCACCGTGGCGACAAATTCTTTGTTTAATGGACAGAGCCCATAAAGTGTAAATGTGCCCTTTACCGTGATCAAGCGACTGTTGACTGCCTGTAAATAGCCAAGGTAGATGTTGCAACAACGGTCAGAGGATTTCCTAGTGTACAGCTCCGTTAAAATCGTTGTTTGAGCGCTCAGTACATCGGCCTAAAACAATATAAATTATAAATTAAATACCAACACATAGCATTTTTAACTTAAGTGAAGCCTACAGGTTTGTGGATCGGCCAAGCAAAAGGTCTTCAAATACTTGCTACGAAACTGGGAATTATGGCAAAATTTAAACCTGGCAAAATTTAGCATCGTTATGTACAAATATTGTGTCCACTGTATACAGCAACTACATTTAAAGAATTCGGCTGTTCGCAAGACGAATACGTGGCACGTTGATAAATTACTATCGTGCGACTAGATTATATAACTTTGACGTTTTTTGCATTCCGGCCGTTTTTGCAGATATGGAGTAGGCTGAGTAGCATACCGGACAGAGATACGGAATTCTCCTCGTTGTTCCACATGGTAAAACCTTTTCAAACAGTGATTGCCTGATGATATTTACTTTTATGCATTTTTGTACATGGATCATTAATATTATCAAGTATTCTGATGTGGAACAACGTATCGAATACCGTATGTATCTCTGGCGTCCGCTACGCTAATCCATATTGCGAAAAAGTCTGGAATGCGAAACACGTCGAAGTATTGGTGTTTTAGGAAGGTCATCATTTGACAGTGTTTTCGGGACTCGGCGAACAATAACCCTAAAATGTCAAGGGTTATTGTTCGCCGAGTCCCGAAAACACTGTCAAATGATGACCTTCTAAATGAAATAAAGGCCAAAAACATCCTTCCACCCAACTCAGAAATTAAAATTGTCATCCGTTTAACCAGTCGGCGCGAAGAAGTTTCCACATGTGCAGTTGTTTTGGAAGTCAGTCAGGCTGTTCGCAATATGTTGACTGACCACCGCTTTTTAATGATTCAGTGGTCACGTTGTCCCGTAGAGGATCATGTATACATCCCACAGTGTTCCACGTGTTGCGTTTATGGCCACACTTCGACGAAGTGTGACAAATCACCCCGCTGTGCTTACTGCGCTAAAGGCCATTTGTCTACAGACTGTACGGAAAATGATGATTTTGTATTTGTGTGCCCGCTTTGCAGTGACAGCAATGTTTACATGCCGGCCAACTACCATTCAGCATACGATCGCCCATACTGTACTGTTTTCAAAAATTCGCGGTATTTTTACAACCAAAACGTTCCAAAAAACCGGTAGACGACGTTGAAATTTTGGAAACTAACTTAACTGAGAAAACCGCTGTTTTTAATAATAAGATTTTGTCAGATCCGGTTAACCAACAGACTGTGTCTCTTCGACAGCCGAAACATCCGGCTCCTGTTGAAAATATCCGTGTGCGATGCTGTAATGTTAGAAGCGTAAAAAGCAAACGCGAAGAAGTTAAATTGTTCTCTTCAGTCAGTGATGTGACCGTTCTTACGGAGACATACGACAGGCCTTTCATGACAGATTCCGATTTCGCTGACCTAGATAATTTCAACGTATTTCGAAAAGCCAGGTCTGATGGTCGTGGCGGTGTGGCTATTGTCATTCGTAACACATTACGCGCGATTTCCAGGCCTGAGCTGGAAACTCCCTTACTTGAGATTCTTTGTGTACAGTCTCTGTCTCTTGATCGAATTTTTATTGCATTTTACGCACCACCCGATAAAAGTATTCATGCAATCCCTACGCTAATTGAACATCTGCGTTCTCGTTTCTCCCCTCATTTGTTAACAAAATGCATAATCATGGGAGATTTCAATCGGCCTGACATAAACTGGTCAGATAAAACTGCAATTAAGCCAGCAAGCCGTGAGTTGCTACACGCCGTTGAAGAATTTGGGTTAAGACAGATAATTGATTTTCCTACGAGAGAAATGAACTGCCTCGATCTGTGTTTGTTAAGCGCAAATTCACTTTTTGAACCGGCAGTTCCAATCTGTCCGCCTTCTACTAAAAATGATCACATCGTTTTGAATTTTCTTTAAAATTAAAGAAATATCGCAGAAAATTTCGGATAAAAAAGCGGTGGAAAATTGAAAAAAGTAAAGTTGACCAGTTCCTAGCTGCGCTGAACGCTGTAGATTGGGTTAATCTGCTTGGCTGCCTAAACGCTAACAAACGTGCGGATAAATTTGAAGATGTTTTT